TGAGAAAGTCCAAGCAGGCCATGGAGAGGACCTGTGTAGTTGTTCCAGTCACCAGCCCAGCTGAGGTCCCAGCAGACAGCCAATATCAACCACCAACTGGGCTGAAGGATGTTTCTAACCCCAGCCTTCAAGTCACTCCTGGCTTTCAAGTCTTCTCCGCTGAAGCCTTGGACAACGTGGAGCAGAGGGATGCTGCCTTATACCTCTTCCGAATTCCCGACTCAAAGAGTCTAGAAATGGGTATTGTTTGGTACTGCTTTCTGTGGGTTGACCTGTTACACAGCAGTAGTAACTATGACTCTAAGACGGGGTCCAAGTATATGGAGAAGGGGAAGTGACTTAGCATCCTGATGCCAGAGGGCAAGAGTAGGATTTTGGTGTCCGCTGTTGTTTGCCTCTTCTGGTCTCTGGGATGATGTCCCTAGTTCACCTGGCTGCTCTTTTCCTTGCTGGCATTAGTGGCTATGGTCTGTGGATGTTGAACTGTTCGTCTTTTTCCGTTTCCCCCCTCTTCCTCTCTGGGCTAGGTTGGAGCTCAGCTGGCTTGCTTGGGATAACTCAGTCTCATTTCCATTCCCATTGGTATTGTAGACCCCACAGAAGACTTTTGTGACTCCCATCAGCCCCAGCTCCTGTGGTTAACTTTGCAGCTTCTGTTAGTAATCACCTTGCAGACTTGCCACAGGATGCCAGAAGGGACTCAGAGTCTCCCTCGGCCTGAGCATGCTTTTCCACTAGCCTGAGTGTGGTTGCACTCCAGGCAAATGAAGGGGCAGCTTGAGATGCTCAGTATCGAGTTCTCAAGAGGGATGGAGACATTCTTATGCCTTTCTGCCATTACTCTCATTTATCTCATGCATTTCTCTCTATCCAGGTTAGAGGGACTCTGCCTGATTTAAAATCTTGGAAAGGGAAAATTGGGAAATATGTTGGCTCTTTCTGTCATCCTGCTTTTCCCTTATCCCTTATTTTCTGATTCCTACAATTCCCCAGACTCTTGCCTGTTTTCCTACTATCCATTCCAACTTTTGGTTAAGCCTTAATGCAAAGGATATTTTTCCCACATATTGAGAGAACTCTGTGGTCTGAGGTCTTCCAGGTTTGCACATTGATATTCTGAAGTCCTCAAGTCTGTGAGTTGGATCACTAAGGCTATTATCATGCTGAAAAATCCTATTTTGCATGTTAGAAGCTGATATTACTTTGCTTTTAGGTTGCCATTTTTTCTGAAACAAACTGTGATCTCACCTTGGGCAAATGGATGGTTACACACAGAAAGGGCAAAACTATTTATCATTTGGAGATGATTACCACCTGTATACTTGGTTTGAGTGACACACCAATTACTTGTTTGTTCAAGACTCCCAACATCTCAGTTTGGCCTTGGGTCTCAGCTACAGTCAATACTGTGGTCCTTCAAGGCGAAATCTTGGTGCAGCTGCTTTTTTCTATCTTGTGCCTTTTGTATTAAACTTTGAAAAACGTACTTGCTCTGCCTCCTTAAAATAATTATACCTTCTAATAGTTCCTAGTAGTTTGTTATCCTGGTTTGTTTGTTCATCTGTTCCATATTTGCATCCTTCTAATTCCTGATCATATGTTTAGCCACAAATTCATTGCTTGCCTTTACTCCTACTATATAAATGTGTCCTACTTCCTAGTTCTGACCCATTTCTTTTTTACTCTGATTCTCAGTACTTCAGTATTCCAACATTGCAGATTTTTCAGGTACATATTAGTTAGGATACTTTTAGCAGGTTGTATAAAACCCAGCTCAAGTCAGGCCAGACAATAAAAGCAGTTTATTGGTTTACATTTTTTTTTTTTTTTTGAAAAGTCAGGTTTCAGGAAAGGAGTGATACAGCAATGTCATCATGCTTCTTGCATGATGCTTCATGCATTTGAGAGTCATGCATCATGACTCTCAAATCTGCCTTTTATGGGTGTTGATTTCATGCTAAACTGATTGGAGGGAGGGCTGCCAGTAGCAGTCTGGGCTAGATGCTTCCTCATTTATGTCCGTATGTCATTCCTAGGCCAGCTTCTGTCAAATGGAAGGGAGCTTCAAATATGGAAAAAGAGTTTCTTTCCTCCAAATCCCTGAGCAAAAGTCTTGGGCTTTACTTTATTTGGACAAACTCAAAACATATGCCCAACACCGGATCAGTCACTATCATTGAAAAAGGAATGAGGTGATTGTGATTGTCGTATGTTAGATTCTGCCCCTACATTTTGGAGTGGGATCAGTTACCCAAATTGCATGACCGTCTCGCAATGTGAAATGGGAAAAGTAGATTCGGGGTGAGCTGGAGTCATGTTTCAAAGTTTGCATGAGCTGATTATGTTCATGTCTTCCCAACTCAGTGTTCACTGACATTGCTTTGGTAACTCAGTCATCCATAGCAAGAGTATTTACACCATATAAATTGTCAAATATCATGAGTAAAGTTTTGTGGGATTTTTTTGGGTAGGGAGCTGGCTCACCAATGCACTCCTGACAATGGGAGGTACTTAATTCCATATGTGTTAATAGGAAACAATCTCTTAACTAATTTTCCTAACTTCAGGATTGCTTACCCCTACTGTCCACTTTTAAAAAATGATAGCTTTACTAAGATAATTCACATGCCATAAAATTCACCCTTTTAAAGTGTACAATTCATTGATTTTTGTATATCCAAAGAGTCATAAATCATCGGCACAATCATTTTGACAACACTTTCATCACCCCTAAAGGAAACCCCATGTGTATTAATCAAGTTTCTCTACAGAGAGAAGCCATCTATATATTTGGAGAGAGAGAGAGACAGATTTATTATAAGGAATTGACTAATGCAGTAAGGAGGCTGAGAAGTCCCACAGTCTGCAGTCTGCAAGCTGGAAACCCAGGAGAGCTGGTGGTGTAATCAGTCCCAGTCTGAAGGCCTGAGAACCACAAGTACAAGAGCAGGATAAGATTTATGTCTGAGCTCAAGCTATCAGGCAGGAAGGGACTGAATTCTTATTTCCTCTGCCTTTTTCTCCCATTAAGGCCCTCAACGGATTGGAGGTTGCCCACTTACCTACACTGGGACAGCCAACTGCTTTACTGAGTCCACAGATTCAAATGCTGATTTCATCTAGAAACACCTTCACAGGCACAACTCAGAAATAATGTTTAGCCAAATGTTGGGATGACCTGTGATCTAGTGAAGCTGACACATAAAATTGGCCACTGCACCAATTAACAGTCTCTCCTTATTCTCCCCTTCCCCCTAGTCCCTTGCAAAGTTCCTTTCTGTCTCTGTGGACTTGCCTATTTTGGACATTCTGTAGAAGGAATCATGCAGTGTGTATTCTTTTGGTTTAGTTTCTCTCACTTAGCCTATTTTCGCGGTTTACCTGTGCTACAGCATCTTTCAGTATTTTATTATTTTATTCTTTGTATTGCCAAATAATATTTCACTGTGTGGGTAGACCACATTTCGTTTATCCACACCAGTTGATGACTTGTGAATTCTTATTCTAATTGTAATTATAGTTCTGGAATCTGGTCCTTTCTACCTTTAGTCGTCAGTACCTTCTTGCTGCCAGAATCCTTTTCTTAAAAAACATCACGTTTAAGCTTGTCACTCACCTGATCAAAATAAATCATCCTGTCTGCTTAGGAGATGCTAGAGGAACACATCAACCCTGCATTTGAAGCTCCCTTCCGTTTGACAGAAGCTGGCCTAGGAATGAGCAGATCCTGCTCCCTGTGAGCAGGCGGGTTTGGCCAGTAATGCCCAAATCTCATTGAAAGGGCCTCTCTACTGGACCAAAACCAACATACAAGCCCCAAAGATATTAGACCCTGACTATGAAAAACAAAAGCCCAAACTATAGAAAGAAACGTGGATGTAATGCAGTTTTACGATTTTGTCATTTGTATTTCTTTTCATCTCTTACTTATTGAGGATTTCATGAGGGTACTGGAGGGATAATGGATCTTAAAATTAGATAGATAGTTTGAAGTCCTGGCTGAGTTGCTTAATATTGACATTCTTTAAATCCTTTTTCTCTGAAATTTTAAGCAAATTGTCTTTTCTTATATGTAAAGTGGGAGCAATAATTCGTATGTCAGAGTTCTGCCATGGATTAAAAGATATAAACAGTCAACTACAGTGCCCAACCCATAATAGACAGTAAATCCATTGACCCTATAATCATTGTTATGATTGAATACATGGTTAAATTTTTCAATTATTTTCAATAAGGCCAATCTAAGATTAGAATCTATTTTGGTGTTCTTTCATTGTTTTATAGTTCTAGTGATTTAATTTTAATATTGTGTTAGTGCTTTAAAATTAGTACCAATTTGAAGCAGAAATTAGATAATCAGTTCAAGGGCTTTATGTTCCTTGTCTACCATTACCCTTGATGTAATTTGAGAGAATCAATATTTCCTTTGGGAAATGGTTAATGAGAGTGCCTTGTTTTATCAAAACAGAAGCTTCTATGAAGTGCTTTAAGGATAAATACCTTAAACATGATGCTGGGTTATCAGCATTTCTTGGAAGAATGAATCTTTAAGTTTGGCATTTACAACTTGATAGCAACTACTAAAGATACAACCCAAGATATTACTCTTTGGAATGATTATAATTTATATTAACTTTAAAAAATTATTGAATGGTAGTTAAATTATAATTTTTTTGTCTTATATAGGTGATCATAAAATTTAAGTTGTTCTTTGGGCCAGTATTTATGGTTTACAAAGTTTTACGTGTATAACAATTTATCTTTTTAGTTTTATAAATAGAACAACCATGAACTAGAGGCTTTCAGAATTGAAGTATTTATAAATGTAGTAGCCATTTTTTCATTGAGACATTTGTAATTTGAGAAATTAAGTTAATTTTATGAAAATTAAACATGGATCATAATAAGACTAACATGTTGAAGATAAGCTTTTAGAAATCACTCATTTTTACATATTTTGATCATTCAATATTATTTCTCTTTCTCCCCCCACCCAATAGGATTCTCCTTGTCAAGATGATTATTCAATAGTCCACAGAAAATGCCGTTCTCAGTTCACTGATCTTGATGGTTCCAAAAGATTTGGCATCAACACTTGGCATGACGAGAGTGGGATTTATGCTAATTCATGTGTAAAACGAAAACTCTACCCATTAACGGGTGGTCCTATTATCCCTTTTTTAAAATAATCTATGGAATCAGATTCTCTAACTAATGAAAGGATAATGGAAATACAGTTGATTTTTCTATCCTAATAAATGCAATGGAAATGTTAATGTGTTAGGTTCCTTTAAAAACAAAATCTTATATATTCTAGGCCAGCATATTATATATCCTTTTCATTAGCTTCTCTGGTATTTTCCAAAGTTTAGTTTGTATACCACCGAGGGTGTACAACACAATTCTTGATGGTACTTGGTGGAATTTTCTTTTATTTATAGACTATGTGTTTATTTCAAATTTTATTGGGAAAAAGTGCATAAAGCTAGGACAATCTAGCTTATAATTGCTGAGGATATGGCTAATATTTAAAAAAACAGCTACCTTAAATTCCTTTTTTAAGTGAATAAAAATATAGGTGGTGCTCAGATTTGACATGAAACCCAAATGACTGAAGTTTGGGCAATCCTGGCCCTATGGCGATGTTGGGGGGTGGCTGGGGGAGATGTGGCAGAGTGGGGGACGTGCCTATTTGTAGACGTTGATTTATCTGTAGTAGCCAACTGCAGCGTGGAGTGTTTATTCAGCATAGTGTTTTTCCTTACTTATGATATTACTTTCTGAGTCTGTAGATAGGAGAGATGGAGGCAGAATCCTAGTGAAACAGGGTTTGATGGGAAAATCCGTCATCTGATGTTAGATTTAGAAGAAATCTGAACAGTAGTTTGGACTCACCATCCACGGTACAGATGAGCAAACAAACCCACAGAGGTTTAAGTAGGTTTTCCTCTTACGTAAATAGTAGACTCCAGGTGATCTTTGAAGTGTATTTGACCTTTCATGACCTTTTATTTCCTTTTTTTTTTTTTTTAAGATTTATCGATTTATTTGAGGACAGCAGGGTGGGGCAGTGGGAGAGAGAGAGAAAATCCCAAGCAGACTCCATGTTCTTGCAGGGCTCGATTCCATGACCCTGGGATCATGACCTCAGTCAAACCAAGAGTCAGATGGTCAACTAGCTGAGCCACCCAGGTGCCCCAGACCTCTCATTTCTTTTGAGGATGGGTTTAATTATTTCGTCAGTCTATGCTTAGATTTACTCTCATTATTTTTCTTTAAAAACTAAGTTCATGAAATAGCATTTCATGATAAATGCTAATTTAGCATTGCCTCCAACTCCAGAAAAATATGGTAAAGACCATAAGCCTTATGAGTGGAGAAATGATAATTAATAAAGATAATGTGGATATACCAGGTAAGCATTCACCAGCAGAGTTTGACTATAATTTCTTGCTTCTTTAAATTTTATGTCTGCATACACACACACACACACACACACACACACAAACACACAAACTATATATCCATATGTATGTATATTATATATAATGTTCTTTTTCTTATTTTTAATTGAGGTATAGTTGACATACAGTGTTATATTAATTTCAGGTGGGTGGGGTGCCTGGGTGGCTCAGTGGGTTAAGCCTCTGCCTTCGGCTCAGGTCATGATCCCAGAGTCCTGGGATCAAGCCCCACATCAGGCTCTCTGCTCAGGAGGGAGCCTGCTTCTCCCTCTCCCTCCGCCTGCCCCTCTGCCTACTTGACTGTCTCTCCCTCTCTGTCAAATAAATAAATAAAATCTTTAAAAAAATAATCTTGGGTGTGCAAATAGTTATCTGACAATTATATACATTATGATATGCTCACCATGATAAGTGTAGTTACCATCTGTCACAATAAAGAGTTACTACAATCATTTGCTATCTTCCCTATGTTGTACTTGTTATTCCCATAACTTATTTATTTTATAGCTAGAAGTTTGTACCTCTTAATCTTCTTTACCTGCTTCACCTACTTTCCGTGATTTCCCTCCCCTCTGGCAACCACCAGTTTGTTCTCTGCATGTATGAGTCTTCTTCTGTTTGTTGGTTCATTTCTTTCATTTTTTTTTAGTTTCCACATATAAGTAAAATCATACAATATTTGCCTTTGTCTGACTTATTTCACTTAGTATAATGCCCACTAAGGGATGTTGTTACGAATGATAAGATTTCATTCTTTTTTTATGGCTGAGTAATATTCATCATGTGTGTGTGTATGTGCATGCGCACGCTACATCTTCTTTATCTATTCATCTATCATTGGGTGCTTCATTTGCTTCCATATCTTGGCTATTATCAATAATACTGCAATGAACATAAGAGTGCATATATCTTGTTGAATTGGTATTTTTATTTTCTTTAGGTAGATACCTAGAATTAGGGTTACTGGATTATATAGTATTTCTAGTATTTTAATTTTTTTCCTAGTATTTTAATTTTTTGAGGATACTCCATATTCTTTTTCATAGTAGCTGCATTAATTTCCATTACCACCAACAGTACACAAGGGTTCCCCTTTCTCTACATCCTCACCAACACTTTGCTATTTCTTGACTTTTTGTTACAAGCCATTCTGACCAGCATAAGGTAACATCTCATTGTGGTTTTGCCTTACATTTCCTTGATGATTAATGATGTTGAGTGTCTTTCCATGTTTCTGTTGGCCATCTGTGTGTCTTCTCTGGAAAAATGTCTATTCAGCTCCTCTGCCCATCTTTCAATCAAATTTGTTTTGTTTCTTATGTTGAGTTGTATAAAGTCTTCATATATTTTAGATACTAACCCTTTATTGGATATATCATTTGCAAATATCTTCTTTTATTCACTAGGTTGCCTTTTTGTTCTGTTGATGATTTCACTGTGCAAAAACTTTTTTAGTTTGATGTAGTCCCAAATGTTTGTTTTTGCTTTTGTTCCCCTGAACTGAGGAGCTAGATCCAGAAAAATATTACCAAGGCTAATATCCAAGAGTTTATATATGCCTATATTTTGTTTTAGCAGTTTTATGATTTCAGGTCTTACATGTAGGTCCTTAATCCATTTTGAGTTTATCTTTGTGGATGGTGTGAGAAAGTGGCCCAGTTTCATTCTTTTGTATTCTTTTGTATTATAATGTTAATTCTTTATATATTGCCTATTCTAGTGGATACCTACCTAGGATTGCCTTTCCTTCCACAAACTGTAAATTCAAATTTTATCACCTCTAACACTTATTAGGGTGTACAGTATACCCTATACAGCTGTTCGAAGCATGCAAATCTAGATACCAAGCTACTCATCATTTGAATTTTTTTGTTTTTGTAAGGAAAAAGTCTTAACGGCCATATCATTACCTTCGAACAATGCCTGGTACCTAGAAAATAAAACTAAATTAATCTGCTTTAGCAGAAATTCTATATTGCAGTGACTAACACTATATTTTGCGTAAGTGAGCCGAATGTGCCATGAGGGATCAACCTAGGAATCCACTTTGGTCTGGTTCAGAAGGAGAATGAAATAAGACATTGTGTTTTGACTAGTCCAGTAAAATGGCGCATGGAAATAAAGATTACAGCAGAGATTTGGCCCACTCTGGTACTCAGTTGCCATCTATTAGTGAATGAATGAGTGTGTTGGATTGAATGAACTCTATAATATTACTCTGAAACCCAGACTTTTAAGTGTAAGTATTTTGTGTTGTTTTGGATTTCCTTAGATAACTTTTGCAGTGGTTCATCTTGTCATTATCAAAGACTGTCTCAAACAAGAAAAATTAGAACTTTGATTTGATCATTGGAGAGAGTCTTCTTTCGGAAGTGACCATGCAGCCTTCTTGTGGGGTCCACGTATGATCTCTATTGGATTTCACCTGAGACATCAAAATAATCCTATCTCTTGTGTGTTTATGAAGTTAACATTTTTAGTATTTATAACTATATCTACAAACTCATTCCATGTTTTTCTTTTGGCCCTTGAGAACTGTTTTGTCAGAACTGTTGGTGTGAGCCCACTGTGGCAGAATGCAGACTGGGAGAATGCTGCTGGGAGAATGGAACATTCGTCGGGCAGATCCGTTCTTAACTCAGGAACCACAGTGGTGGTTCTTGAGTTAAATTTGCCCTACAGATAGGTTTTCTTTGGTCTTCACAATGTTTTTTTCATTAATTAATCATAGAGAACAAACTGGGGGCTGCTAGAGGGGTCGTGGGTGGGCTGGGCTAAATGGGTGATGGGCATTAAGGAGGGTGCTTGTTGGGATGAGCACTGAGGTTTGTATGTATGTATATAAGATTCGTTTAGGATGAATCACTAAATTCTACCCCTGAAACCAATACTACACTGTATGTTAACTAACTTGAATTTAAATAAAATTATTTAAAATAAAAAGAATAAAAGAAATTGAACCAAATTTTATAAATTAGGACATTTTACTTAAATATCTGGATTTCCATATCCTTGACAGATTGGCTGATATGGCAACAGTAGGCTTCATTTTGATACAGCAACAATCAGCAGGGGTAAAACTTTCTTTAGTTGGGGGCTAAGATCATCATTTTGATGCAGTTCTTACCTTTATATGTCACTCATTTTTGGAGGCCTTGTGACCCTTTCCCTAAGGAGAGGTGGGACAAACATGAATTAATCAATTGTGTGGTAGAGGAGAATGGGTGGTGGAAAAGTGGCTGCTTCCTGGTTACTAAGATTAGGATAGTGAAGGTGCTGGCTGAACCCTGGTAGCAGGGACATAGTGAATCGGGTTGAGTTCACGTAGGAGTCAAGATCCTAGGTATGTGATGAAGAAGATAGAGATGGGGAGTGGGCCAGGGGCTTCATTCGATGTACAGAGAAACCTCAGACTCACTGGATTATACTAGAAATTCATCTGGCGATGGAGGAAGTAAGCATACCTGATCCAACCCCAGGATAATGGAGCTGGAAGATGAAGATAAGCAGGGCTTGTCCAGCTTACTGGTTTATTTACAAAGGGAAGCACTGGAAACCAGTGTTCCAGAAGCATAGAGAGAGTCCAGTTCCAGTAAGACCCTAAGGCAAGAATGGTAAACTCCTTCTTATGGGAAAAAGAGTATAGGTGGTAGGCTGGGAGAGGTCACACAAGTGCCTAGCACTGCCTCCATCAAGAATAGAGCAGTAGGAACATTCCCCTAAAGCTGTGCTGACCGGCAGCTAACTCTATTTCAGTGACAGTGGCAGGGCAGTTTGCCAGTAGCTGGAAGCCCACTCCCAGATG